CACAGAATTGTTACTGAGGGACACAGAATTGTTACTGAGGGCCACAGAACCGTTACTTAGGGCCACAGAATTGTTACTCAGGGACACAGAATTGTTACTGAGGGCCACAGAACCGTTACTTAGGGCCACAGAATTGTTACTCAGGGACAGACACAGAATTGTTACTGAGGGACACAGAATTGTTACTGAGGGCCACAGAACCGTTACTTAGGGCCACAGAAACGTTACTGAGGGACACAGAATTGTTACTGAGGGCCACAGAACCGTTACTTAGGGCCACAGAAACGTTACTCGGACACAGAATTGTTACTGAGGTCCACAGAACCGTTACTTAGGGCCACAGAAACTTTACTTAGGGACACAGAATTGTTACTCAGGGACAGACACAGAATTGTTACTGAGGGACACAGAATTGTTACTGAGGGCCACAGAAACCGTTACTTAGGGCCACAGAATTGTTACTCAGGGACAGACACAGAATTGTTACTCAGGGACACAGAATTGTTACTGAGGGCCACAGAACCGTTACTTAGGGCCACAGAAACGTTACTCAGGGACACAGAATTGTTACTGAGGGCCACAGAACCGTTACTTAGGGCCACAGAAACGTTACTTAGGGACACAGAATTGTTACTCAGGGACAGACACAGAGTTGTTACTCAGGGACAGACACAGAATTGTTACTGAGGGACACAGAATTGTTACTGAGGGCCACAGAACCGTTACTTAGGGCCACAGAAATTGTTACTCAGGGACAGACACAGAATTGTTACTGAGGGACACAGAATTGTTACTGAGGGCCACAGAACCGTTACTTAGGGCCACAGAAACGTTACTCAGGGACACAGAATTGTTACTGAGGGCCACAGAACCGTTACTTAGGGCCACAGAAACGTTACTTAGGGCCACAGAATTGTTATTCAGGGACAGACACAGAATTGTTACTGAGGGACACAGAATTGTTACTGAGGGGGCCACAGAACCGTTACTTAGGGCCACAGAAACGTTACTCAGGGACACAGAATTGTTACTGAGGGCCACAGAATCGTTACTTAGGGCCACAGAAACGTTACTTAGGGCCACAGAATTGTTACTCAGGGACAGACACAGAATTGTTACTGAGGGACACAGAATTGTTACTGAGGGCACCACAGAACCGTTACTTAGGGCCACAGAAACGTTACTCGGACACAGAATTGTTACTGAGGGCACACAGAACCGTTACTTCGGGCCACAGAAACGTTACTTAGGGACACAGAATTGTTACTCAGGGACAGACACAGAATTGTTACTCAGGGCCACAGAATTGTTACTGAGGGCACAGAAACCGTTACTTAGGGCCACAGAAATGTTACTTAGGGGGACACAGAATTGTTACTCAGGGACAGACACAGAATTGTTACTGAGGGACACATAATTGTTACTGATGGCCACAGAACCGTTACTTAGGGCCACAGAAACGTTACTCGGACACAGAATTGTTACTGAGGGACACAGAATTGTTACTCAGGGCCACAGAATTGTTACTCAGGGACAGACACAAAATTGTTACTCAGGGACACAGAATTGTTACTCAGGGACACAGAATCGTTGAATTAAAGAGTATGTCAGACAACATGCAGAGGAGTGGCAGAGGAGGCAATGTTTTTTAGGAGCGAGCAGACGTGGCAGCAGAGGAAGGGGTCGAGGCAGCAGCACTAGTCGCAGCCAGAGGCCAGTGCTCCCGGTGTCATCCAGCGGTCGTTTCTCCACCAACAACCCTGCCGTCATCGATTGGTTGGCTCGGTCGTCTTCCTCTTCCCAGGTCACCTCTGACACCTACAGCCAACGGTCGGTGTGTACGTCAGACACAACCGTTAGTTGGCATGGCCCGGGAGCAAGCCCACTGAAATCACGTGTCCTCTACCTGCCCCTGTCCTTTGGTGTTCCCTCACCAAGCGAAGTATCGCATGCTGTGGGCTCAGCCCCACTGTACAGTGAGGAAGAGCTAACAGAGGGCGGTCAGGAACGGGGGGAGACATCCGCCTTTTCAGCAGCCAGGCGAAGAAGTACTGGCGAGGAGAGTGGCTCGGTAGCCGGTCTAGAGACAGGTCTGTCTCCTGACCCAGACGCAGCCGAGGGGGCTAGTAGTGAGGCGGAGACCGTACTTGATGATGAGGAGGTTGATCGCACTTGGCAGCCTCGTCGTCATCAGGCAATTTCTTCCGCATCATCAGGAGAAGAGGGTGCCAGCTTGGCAGCGAGCGAAACAGTCGGTGGGTTGCCCAGGAGGCAGCAGGGTCGCAGCAGTGTCAGTGGAGCCAAACGGCCACGGAGTAGTAGAGCACCAGCTCCACTGCAGCCTACCACCACGGCCAGTAGTGGTGCCGGTGCGCACGGAGGAAGTAGCAGTCAGCCAGTGAGGAGTAGCGGGGGCAAAGTTTCCTACTCGGTGGTGTGGCAATTTTTCGTCAAGCCGCCCGAGGAAGTAAACGTAGCCGTATGTCGACTATGTGGCCAGAAAGTCAAGCGTGGCCAGGGGGCCCATGTTGGGACTACAGCGTTGCGTCAGCATATGCAGCGTCGCCATTTGGTGGCCTGGGAAAACTGTGATAAAGATACGGCGGTTCTGCTGCCTGACCCAGCCCCCGCTCCATCACCCGCTCCGTTACTTGCTCCGTCACCCGACGTCAATCGCCCTCTATCAGCCAGTCAAGGCTCCAACACCTCTGCTGAGGGGAGTTGTCGCTCGTTGGCATCTTCCGCTCGTTCAGATGCTCCTTCTCCTGCTACTCCTCTTCACGGATTCCGTCAGCAGTCTTTCTTGGAATCCGTTTCCAAGAGACAACAGTTTGCGAGCACGCACCCGACGGTGCAAAAGCTGAATGTCCTCCTGTCCAAGTTGCTGGTGCTGCAGTCCCTCCCTTTCCAACTGGTGGACTCAGCACCTTTCCGAGAAATGATGGCTTGTGCCGCGCCGCGGTGGAGAGTGCCAAGCCGGCATTTCTTCGCCAAAAAGGCAGTGCCAGCCCTGCATTCACATGTAGAAGAGATGGTGGGCCAGTCTTTTGAGCATGTCAGTCTCTGCCAAAGTGTACGGCAGCGCCGACGTGTGGAGCTGTAACTACGGTCAGGGACAGTACATGTCATTTACGGCCCACTGGGTGAACGTGGTGCCGGCACAGCGCACCAGCAACTTGGACAGGTCACGACGCTTTTGCCTCCACGTTTGCACGTCCTTGGTCCAGCAAACATGTCCGCCTCTACCACCTCTTCTTCCGCCGTGTCCTCAGCCGCCACCCCCGTGCCAAGTCCCATTACCCGACCGGCATATCACATGTGCAGGGCGCAACGGTGTCACGCTGTGCTGCACCTGGTATGCCTTGGCGAACGTAGTCACACAGGGGGGAAGGAACTTCTGAGTGTAATGAACAGAGAAATCGACAGATGGCTGTCTCCGCGCAAACTGAAAATTGGAACCATGTTGACCGACAACGGAAAGAACATGGTGTCTGCTCTGCATCAAGGAAGGTTGTGCCATGCGCCATGCATGGCTCACGTGTTCAATCTGGTTGTCAAGCGGTTCCTAAAATCCACCATCCCACTGCAAGACATCCTTAAAATGTCACGTAAACTTTGCATGCATTTCAGCCATTCCTACAGCGCAAAGCACACCCTCCTTGAGCTGCAGCGGCAGAACGGAATTCCACAGCATCGCCTGATCTGCGACGTTGCAACAAGGTGGAATTCAACCCTACACATGTTAGACCGCCTTTACGAGCAGCGAAAGGCCATCACCGATTTCCTGATGTTACAAGCGGATAAAGGTACTCCCCTGTGTAACTTAGATGTCAGCCATTGGCAGCTCATGCGTGACACCTGCCGCTTGCTCAGGCCCTTTGAGGAGGCCACGCTATTCGTGAGTCGGCAGGACTATGGGATGAACGACGTCATTCCTCTGTTGCACGTCCTGGAACAAAATGCTGTTAACAATGGCTGGTCAGGGTGCGGTAGACGTGGCGCACAGATCTCAACGCCACATGACCCCTGTGGGGGCAGGACAGGAAGAAAGAGAGAGGAGGTAGAGGAGGACATTTGTGCTCAGGAATTATTGAGTGAAATGGGTGGTTTTTCCACTCAGCGGACAGGAGTGGAGGAGCAGGAGCATCTGGTAGAGGAGGAGGAGGAGGAGACAGAGGACCCAGACGCACCGTGGCAGTATGCTGTGGAGATGGAGGCAGGGAGTCCCTCGCATTCCTTGGCACAAATGGCCCATAGCATGCTCGGTTGCTTGCGTAGCGACAGCCGAATATTAACCATCAGACAGAGGGATGACTTTTGGCTGTCCACCTTGTTGGACCCTCGCTACCGTTCCAAAATGGTGGCCTTTTTCACACCTGCTGAGAGGGAGGCCAAAATTACGTACTATAAAAACCACCTATGTAGTCAGTTGGTCTCTGCCTTTCTGCGCCAACGTCCATCCTCAGACACTGTGGGCCCTGTGCGCTCGCGTTCCGCTGCCATGGCAGCAGGGGAGGGGTGGGGGTGTGGTAGGAGCAGTGGCAGCTCCACCAGCAGCGGCTGCCTCAGTCTGCAGTCGATGATGAGTAGCTTTCTTCACCAGCACAGTGAGGAAACTACTAACCAGCCGCAGCAGCAGCAGCAGCAGCATCAGGTGGACCTGGAGCAGGAGCTCAAACAAGAGGCTTGGGCCTACTTGGACAGCACCCTGCCAACCGAGGTAGACAATCCCCTTGACTACTGGGCAACGAAACTTGACCTTTGGCCCCAACTAGCTGAATTTGCCCTTGAAAGGCTGTCATGCCCGGCCAGTAGCGTGGCATCGGAGCGCGTGTTTAGTGCGGCAGGAGGTATTGTAACTCCGCGGAGGACACGACTGTCCACCCAAAGTGTGGAGAGACTCACGTTTGTGAAAATGAATCAGGCGTGGATTAGTCTGGATTTCAAACCACCAGTTCCTGACACAACTGACTAAATCCGCCATGAATCATGCCACAAACATGTGCCACTTTCAGGTCTCCGCACACTGCTGCTGGGTTCCATTTTGTCATAGGGTGCTGGCAGATTACGGGCCTCCCATAGCTGCTGCCAGGCCCCTAATCTGCCATGGGCCCCTGTAACGCCTCCTCACACTGCTGCTGCAAGGTCCACAGTGTCTCATGGGTCCCTGTACCGCCTCCCATTGCTGCTGCCAGGCCCCTAATCTGCCATGGGCCCCCGTACCGCCTCCTCATGCTGCTGCCAGGTCCACAGTGTGTCATGCCATGTGCCACTTTCAGGTCTCCTCACACTGCTGCTGGGTTCCATTTTGTCATAGGATGCTGGCAGATTACGGCCTCACATTGCTGCGGCCAGGCCCCTAATCTGCCATGGGCCCCTGTACCGCCTCCTCACGCTGCTGCAAGGTCCACAGTGTGTCATGCCATGTGCCACTTTCAGGTCTCCTCACACTGCTGGTGTGTGTTTCATTTTGTCATAGGATGCTGGCAGATTACGGCCTCACATTGCTGCGGCCAGGCCCCTAATCTGCCATGGGCCCCTGTACCGCCTCTCCTCACGCTGCTGCCAGGTCCAGGTCCACAGTGTGTCATGGGTCCCTGTACCGCCTCCCATTGCTGCTGTCTCCAACGCCACACTCTGCCATGTGCCACTATCAGGTCTCCTCACACTGCTGCTGGGTTCCATTTTGTCATAGGATGCTGGCAGATTTACGGCCTCACATTGCTGCGGCCAGGCCCCTAATCTGCCATGGGCCCCTGTACCGCCTCCTCACGCTGCTGCAAGGTCCACAGTGTGTGTCATGCCATGTGCCACTTTCAGGTCTCCTCACACTGCTGGTGTGTTTCATTTTGTCATGGGTGCTGGCTGATTACGGGCCTCCCATAGCTGCTGCCAGGCCCCAAATCTGCCATGGGCCCCCGTACCGCCTGGTCACGCTGCTGCTGGGTCCACAGTGTGTGACATGGGTCCCTGTACCGCCTCCCATTGCTCCCACTCTGCCATGTGCCACTTTCAGGTCTCCTCACACACTCCTGCTGGTTTCCATTTTGTTTCATTAGGTTGCTGGCACATTACAGGCCTCCCATAGGTGCTGCCAGGCCCCAAATCTGCCATGGGCCCCCGTACCGCCTGGTCACGCTGCTGCTGGTCCACAGTGTGACATGGGTCCCTGTACCGCCTCCCATTGCTCCCCATCTGCCACTCTGCCATGTGCCACTTTCAGGTCTCCTCACACTCCTGCTGGTTTCCATTTTGTCACAGGTTGCTGGCAGATTACAGGCCTCCCATAGGTGCTGCCAGGCCCCAAATCTGCCATGGGCCCCCGTACCGCCTGGTAACGCTGCTGCTGGGTCCACAGTGTGTCATGGGTCCCTGTACCGCCTCCCATTGCTCCCACTCTGCCATGTGCCACTTTCAGGTCTCCTCACACTCCTGCTGGTTTCCATTTTGTCATAGGTTGCTGGCAGATTACAGGCCTCCCATATGTGCTGCCAGGCCCCAAATCTGCCATGGGCCCCCGTACCGCCTGGTCACGCTGCTGCTGGGTCCACAGTGTGTCATGGGTCCCTGTACCGCCTCCCATTGCTCCCACTCTGCCATGTGCCACTTTCAGGTCTCCTCACACTCCTGCTGGTTTCCATTTTGTCATAGGTTGCTGGCAGATTACAGGCCTCCCATAGGTGCTGCCAGGCCCCAAATCTGCCATGGGCCCCCGGACCGCCTCGTCACGCTGCTGCTGGGTCCACAGTGTGTCATGGGTCCCTGTACCGCCTCCCATTGCTCCCCACTCTGCCATGTGCCACTTTCAGGTCTCCTCACACTCCTGCTGGTTTCCATTTTGTCATAGGTTGCTGGCAGATTACAGGCCTCCCATAGGTGCTGCCAGGCCCCAAATCTGCCATGGGCCCCCGTACCGCCTGGTAACGCTGCTGCTGGGTCCACAGTGTGTCATGGGTCCCTGTACCGCCTCCCATTGCTCCCACTCTGCCATGTGCCACTTTCAGGTCTCCTCACACTCCTGCTGGTTTCCATTTTGTCATAGGTTGCTGGCAGATTACAGGCCTCCCATAGGTGCTGCCAGGCCCCAAATCTGCCATGGGCCCCCGGACCGCCTGGTAACGCTGCTGCTGGGTCCACAGTGTGTCATGGGTCCCTGTACCGCCTCCCATTGCTCCCACTCTGCCATGTGCCACTTTCAGGTCTCCTCACACTCCTGCTGGTTTCCATTTTGTCATAGGTTGCTGGCAGATTACAGGCCTCCCATAGGTGCTGCCAGGCCCCAAATCTGCCATGGGCCCCCGGACCGCCTCGTCACGCTGCTGCTGGGTCCACAGTGTGTCATGGGTCCCTGTACGGCCTCCCATTGCTCCCACTCTGCCATGTGCCACTTTCAGGTCTCCTCACACTCCTGCTGGTTTCCATTTTGTCATAGGGTGCTCTATGGCCTCCCATTGCTGCTGCCTCCACCGCCACACTGTGGCTCCACACTCTGGTTTTGGCCCCGTGACTGGCCAAATGAGTCAAGTGTGCGGTGATTCTAAGATCGACGGCACTCATCTGCATGTCATACTGACTGACAGTATTATTTCTCTTCCCCAGCAGACTCCAAGGGCATTTAAATTAAAGGTACAGTGTTCTGCACTAATATAAAGTCTCTCTGAAGCCTAGAAACACCCCTTTTTTAAGTTAAATTCACAGCGAATATATTCGACTCGAATCGAATATTTTCCACGAATTCGCCGAATCAGTCGAATCGAATTTTTGAATACTTCGCTCATCTCTAGTTGTCATACAAAGGGTTGATAACAACATCACCACCAAAGTATACTTTAAACCAGGGGTCCTCAAATTTTTAAACAGGGGGCCAGTTCACTGTCCCTCAGACCGTTGGAGGGGGGATCTATAGTTTAAAAAAAAAAACTATGGTCATCTCCTGTACTGTGTCCGCATTTGTTCAGAGACTGCGGACATACAACGGCGGCGGGAATACTGGGCCGGCCACTCTATAAGACACACAGACATTTCCCCCCCAAGTGTGTCTTATGGAGCGAAAGAGTGTCCCATCATTGGTGTCAGTGGGAGGCATAGTGCCCCATCATTGGTGTCAGTGGGAGGAATACTGCCCCACCATTGGTGTCAGTGAGAAGAATAGTGCCCCACCATTGGTGTCAGTGGGAAGAATAGTGCCCATCATTGGTGTCAGTGGGAGGAATAGTGCCCCATCATTGGTATCAGTGGGAGAAATAGTGCCCCATCATTGGTGTCAGTGGGAGGAATAGTGCCCCATCATTGGTGTCAGTGAGAGGAATAGTGCCCCATCATTGGTGTCAGTGGGAGGAATAGTGCTCCATCATTGGTGTCAGTGGGGATTAGTGCCCCATCATTGGTGTCAGTGGGAAGAATTGTGCCCCATCATTGGTGTCAGTGGGAGGAATAGTGTCCCATCATTGGTGTCAGTGGGAGGAATAGTGCTCCATCATTGGTGTCAGTGGGAAGAATCATGCCCCATCATTGGTGTCAGTGGGAGGAATAGTGCCTCATCATTGGTGTCAGTGGGAGGAATAGTGCCCCATCATTGGTGTCAGTGGGAGGAATAGTGTCCCATCACTGGTGTCAGTGGGAGGCATAGTGCCCCATCATTGGTGTCAGTGGGAGGAATAGTGCCCCACCATTGGTGTCAGTGAGAAGAATAGTGCCCCACCATTGGTGTCAGTGGGAAGAATAGTGCCCTATCATTGGTGTCAGTGGGAGGAATAGTGCCCCATCATTGGTGTCAGTGAGAGGAATAGTGCCCTATCATTGGTGTCAGTGGGAGGAATAGTGCCCCATCATTGGTGTCAGTGGGAGGAATAGTGCCCTATCATTGGTGTCAGTGGGAGGAATAGTGCCCCATCATTGGTGTCAGTGGGAGGAATAGTGCCCATCATTGGTATCAGTGGGAGGAATAGTGCCCCATCATTGGTGTCAGTGGGAGGAATAGTGCCCCATCATTGGTGTCAGTGGGAGGAATAGTGCCCCATCATTGGTGTCAGTGAGAGGAATAGTGCCCCATCATTGGTGTCAGTGGGAGGAATAGTGCTCCATCATTGGTGTCAGTGGGAGGAATAGTGCCCCATCATTGGTGTCAGTGGGAGGATTAGTGCCCCATCATTGGTGTCAGTGGGAAGAATTGTGCCCCATCATTGGTGTCAGTGGGAGGAAATAGTGTCCCCATCATTGGTGTCAGTGGGAGGAATAGTGCCCCATCATTGGTGTCAGTGGGAAGAATCATGCCCCATCATTGGTGTCAGTGGGAGGAATAGTGCCTCATCATTGGTATCAGTGGGAGGAATAGTGCCCCATCATTGGTGTCAGTGGGAGGAATAGTGCCCCATCATTGGTGTCAGAGGGAGGAATAGTGCTCCATCATTGGTGTCATTGGGAAGAATCGTGCCCCATCATTGGTGTCATTGGGAAGAATCGTGCCCCATCATTGATGTCAGTGGGAGGAATAGTGCCCCATCATTGGTGTCAGTGGGAGGAATAGTGTCCCGTCATTGGTGTCAGTGGGAGGAATAGTACGTCATTGGTGCCAGTGGGGGGAATAGTGCCCCATCGTTGGTGTCAGTAAGGGAAGGAATAGTGCCCCATCATTGGTATCAGTGGGAGGAATAGTGCACCATCGTTGGTGTCAGTGGGAGGAATAGTGCCCCATCATTGGTGTCAGTGGGAGGAATAGTGCACCATCGTTGGTGTCAGTGGGAGGAATAATGCCCCATCATTATTATCAGTGACACCAATGATGGGGCACTATTCCTCCCACTGACAGCAATGACATTTAAGTAGCCGACCCCTGTTCCAGCATGGTGCTGCTGCAGCCAGCATACCTGGTTGTAGCAGTACCATCTGCACGGCACGGGTGGGTCAGCTGTCCTCCTTTTTTCACTTCGGCCTCTCCCTCCCTTGATTTTCGTGGGGCCGCTCGGCTCTGCCTCCTCACCGGTGATTGGCCGCCTGTGTGCATTTCCTGAGCTACAGTACTGGCGCCCAATCACCGGCGAGGAGGGGGAGCCGAGCGGCAGCACGGACATCGAGTGAGGGAGCGGCCGGAGTGAAGGAGCTGCGCATCCTGGACTGGATCGTCGTGGGACTGGGACCGGAGCCAGGTAAGAGACAGCAGCCCCCTGCTCGCCCCTGTACTTATTGTCCCCTGCCGGTGGGCCGGATGAATGTGCTCGGCAGGCCGCATGTGGCCCGCGGGCCGTAGTTTGAGGACCCCTGCTTTAAACCAACAAATAGGAACTGACATTTATCAACTAGAAGTAGTCATCACCCAATGTGGCTCAAAAACATACCTAGAGGTCAGTTCATGAGAGTGAGAAGGAACTGCACATTGGATGATGACTTCAAGTCTCAATTGGAAATTATAAAAAATAGATTTTTCAGAAAGGTTATTCTGATGACTTTTTGAATTATAACATACAGAGGATATTAAATATCCCTAGAACATCTTGCTTTAGCACTAAGAGTAAGGAAGACAGTAATAAACAGTGTTTTTGAAAACGCCCAGTGGGAGGGGCAAAACGTGTCAACGTACTTCCGGTCTGCCGGTTTACATCACTTCCGGTGAGTGGAACGCACGCCGCAGTGCTGCGTTCCAAGCAGCCATCTTGTGGGGTCTGAATTACACTGTCATCTGCTGCTAAGCTGTGGGATTTCTGGCAATTGTTCTGGATGTAC